CGCGTTTACAGGTCTCTGGAGGGTAAAACAAGGGGTGCGGGCGGGGGGGCCGCCCATCCCATGCGCAAGCAACATCATCTGTATGAGCATTCCCCAGTGCAAACATGGTGATGACATGGTGCTCCTTTGTTGTACAAAGGTGCGGGTGTTGGGGGCGGGGGGGGGTGGGGGGGCATCACCTTTCGAGCAACAAGGAGAAAGGTGATGAAAGATGATGGAAACTACTAGAAGACCATGAAAACACATGAAGAACATGGAGAAATATGAGGAAAGATGGAGAATTAAAAAATAAATTGAATTGATGAACAGACATGACAACGATTCAAAATGATAAAACATATGGCAACTGCTGAAAGAGGATGGAAACTATGAACATGCTGAAAATATGAAGAACTGTGACAGATGATGGAAAACGGCAAGCACTAAGCAGAAAGAAAGAAGCAAGAATTGAAACAACAATCGCAGATAGCAGCGATAGCAGCGATCGGGGAGCTGAGTGCAGTCAACGAGAACCAGGAAGCTGAAATAGAGAGCAATGAGCATTGAGGAGACTGCAGGCAGCAAGAAACAGAAAGCAACAAGCTGACAGCAAAACGTAGGAAGCAAGAAAGATAAGAAAAATAAAGCAAAAAGCAGCAAGCAAGAAACGAGAAGCAACAGGCAGAAAGCTGCAAGCAGAAAACACAAACCGAAGGCCAAAAGCCAGAAGCTAAAAGCAGAAAGCAAGAAGCAACACGCATAAACGCAGGAAACCACAAAACATCAAAAAAAACGTGAGAAACACACATCCTTAAAACAATAGGCCTCCAGCGTCCTGGCCACTGTTCGAAGTCTGGTCAAGCACATCACACGCGATTGGCGGATGGGAATGCAAACATGTAAAGATCCCTGCTTCAGGACAACTGAAGGCCTGGCGCCCTTTGCCGGGTTAGGTAAAGAAAACGGAGCAAAAAAGGTCGGGAAAAGGGTGCTGGCGGCGCTCGGCTCACAATCTACTGCGAAACCAGTAGGAGGGTCTGAACAATGACAACTGGGCACTCTTTGCTTGAATTCCCCAGTCTTTCCTAACTTGCTTTTTGCTGTGGTTTCTGGAATCCTACCTAGTCACAGTGCATGTAGCATCAGCCTTGGCAACCCCAAGCTTCCAGACCCTGCAGGGTCTGCTCCTCTTGCAGGAGAACGGCCAGTGAGCCAGAAGTGTTGGCAAGCAGCTTTCCTAGGGCCTGCAAGCCAAGATCAAGATGTCTTCACTGTAAAGACAGGCATGACACTGGAGACTGGGTCCTGCAAGTCACCTAACGCTCGCGAAGGACGTCCTCGCAGGAAAGTCAACGCTCCAGGAAGATCAATGGAACCATGTGCTCCAGCAGAAATTCCGAAAGCATGCAAGAAGCCTTTAGCTTGGAAGTCCACATCTCCAGGCTCAGGATAGTCTTTGCTCAATTCCCAAGGTGCAAAATGACTTTCTTACTTGAACAGTTCAGTAGCAAGGCTGGAATCGTGCCAGCAACCGACGATCCAGCTCTGCAGAGCGACAGTGCAGCAATGCGGTGACCTGAAAAAGCATTCAGTGGGCCCGTCCAGTGTTACTGCATCATACCAGCAGTTGGAAGGCATGCACTTGGGCCTCCTGGCAAAAAATGAAGTGTTACAAGAATGTCTTGGGCATTGTTGAGCTTCTAACAGCAAAACCTACTACGGCTGACCTAATATTCGACTTGATGGGGCCTTCACCCGACACAAGTTGGACTGAAGTGGGCCTCACAGACCCGTAGACTCCATGCTCAACAGCCTTTGCTATTTCATGTGTGGTCGCTTCCATATATTAATTTTCATAACTTCCAAAAATGAACGTCGAAACTCCAGCGTACAGCCATGCAGTACAAGGGGCCGAGATTCGAGCATTTTACTCATGCAGTCTGCAACACTGGGGCGCGAATTCTTGGGAACAGTTGCCCGAAGTGTCTGCTTGAAACTTTTGTCGAGCCAAGGCCTATATACACACAAAGTATTTACAGGTTGAAAATTTATAAAGTAGGCAAGTGGGCCTGACAAGGGCCTACAAGCCTTTCGTAGCCAAGTCTGGGAGCGTCTCAGCCTCGGAACACTTCCAAACCAGACGTCTCTTTATTTGACATATGTTGGGCACATGTTGTAACTGCGAAGCCTACTCATGTATGCAAACACTCAATGCAATACCCGGGTGATCCGAGCACTTCGTATGAAGACCTTGCACGTCCCAGGTGCCAGCGCAATGCCCTGTCCAAAGCATGCTGCATCAACTTGCACTTGCATGAGACGTTCTTGATCACGTGCTGCCTCCAGGCACCACGTCAGCGGTGGAGGTCCCGGCAGCGCTGCTAAACGCTTTGCCCCCTTCTTTCCACGACCGCGACGCAGCAGCCAAACTTCATCACGTGCACGGTAGCCTGAAGCTGAGCATGTCCGTGCTGCCTACTTCACCCTGCTACTTATGTGTCCTGTAGAGCGGGCACAAGCAAAAGATGGACAATGATGGACATGCACTGCCGCTACCCAAGAACTGATTGGGACCCTGCCTACAAGCCGCCAGCGTGCACGACTCGGCTTCAGCTCCAATGTTTCCCAAGACAGCACCTCATGGAGACTTTTCAACCATGCTTCTAGCCGACCCTCAGCCGCGGAGATAGCATCTTATCAAAAGTACTTCCAACCATGTCGGTCAAGCAACCCGCTGCGGCTCCTCGTGCGGGGGTAGCTCCTCCAGGCAGGTCCCCAGATTTTTCAGAGTGCAGAAAATGTCCAAGGTGCTCTGCCGCTTGATTCAACAACTTCAAAATCTCCTGTGAGATGAGGATTTCTACCATGTGGCGTGCAGAGCTTGCAGCATCATCTGGCTGGGGGCCAAGGGCCGTGAACGTGTTCACCTGAGGCTGAGAATTGCTTCTCAACGCAACATGCCTGCCCACAAGGATGTAGCTGCAAACACTCATACCACCCAAATCCCACGCAAGCCAAGACATTTTTGCGACAGGACTCAAAATTAATGGGCTAAGACCCAGTTCTCTCCAGGCTGTAGCAACCAAGGCACCGCAGCTACAGCAAGCGGCAGGGCGATGGCCTTTGCTTTGTCTGGCTTGCCAAGCCTCGGGTTCGGACAGGTCCCAAGTGCCCTCACAAAGTCACAGTACCATGCGGGTGCCTGCAACCCATCGCGAAGGTCAACGCCGCGACCTGGCCATTGTGAGTCTAAGACAGTTCGGACCCACCCAATGTCCCGTCAAGCCCCAAACTCATCTCCAGTGTATGCCTCTGTCCTAGCTCTCACATTTCTGGCTGTTTTGCCAGTCCCAACTAAAATCTGCCTGCCCTGTGGCTTCCCAGCATTGGCTGCAGCATTTGAAGAAAGCATGACAGGCAATGTTGCCAACAGTAGTCAGGGGCCTCTAGGAGCAAGTTGGCGGCGCTGCGACTCTTGTCGATTTCCGCGCTGAGGCGCGAAACAGATTCCTGAAAACTGCTTGTGTTTCACAGTGCCACATGGACGGGTTGAAAAAATCACCCTCACATTCGCCTAAAAATTTTGGGATTCAGAATCCCCAATCCTAACGCCGTCCTAACGCATCTCATGTTGCGCTGGAAGGTACTACATTGCGAATTTGCTATGGACTGCTGGACAAACCGCACCCAAGCGTCCAGAGAGCATCTCCACGGGAACCGGGTTGGATTCATTGCAGGATCTAAGTGCAGACGCCATGCGCGTGATTTCCACACAACTGGTTGAAGGCCCCACCTCTGCGCCCAGCTGCCCAAAGCAGAGCACGCCAAGCACGCGAAACGGCTGCTTGTGCTGGGCACCGAACCTGCCTCGGTAGAAAACAGAACCCAAACTGAGCGCTGTGCATGCAGGGCATCTTCCTGAAACTGTTTCAGCCAACAGGCAGCACAGGATCGGGTCCTGCGGGCAATCCGGGCGCAGCTGGCAGCAACTTCTCCTCCAATCGAGTTTTGAGTCTTGAGGACGGCTACGCCACCGTTTTGCAGAAGCATGTTTGTCCATTTTTCAGAGTGAGTCTTGACTGAACACTCGGGCCAGATCTATCTATCCCGAAAAACTTAGATCATTTTCTTTGCGCAACATGAATAAACATTGCCTTCAAGATTATGACTGACGAAACGTGGTGACGCGGACGAACTCGAGCAGACATGTTCCGTCTGAAATGTCCAAGCCAAGTTTCGGGCAAGGACCATTGCACCTCCTTTGGCCGTGACTGCCTCCGAAACCGAGGCACGCCATATCTTGGAGCGTTGGGATTTCCTGAGGGTGTGAAATCAGAAGGAGTAGTCTGCTATGCGGAGCAGGCCGCCTGTAAGCCTTCCTGGTCTGGGGTGTTGTGCCTGACAAGATAGGCACTCACAACAGAAATATACAAAGAAAAACCAATGGCAGTCACTGGCAGATGGTCTCGCCTCGTCACTTGGCCGCACCGGTACAGTCATGGCCTGCGAGGCCAAGGCCTCAGCGAAGGATGGAGCTGATTACTGCTGCAGCCCTGCTTGAAAGCGCACACACCTCTAGGAGTGGCACGAGCATGTTTTCTTGAAGCTGTGATCCGTAAGTATGAATTATCATTCATTTGGGAATCCCGGGAATGGCTTGGCCCACTGCCTTGGCCCAGAGGACCTTCACAATAGACGCTTCAACATGCACAAGCACATCTTCCTTGTAGCCATCCGCTGCACCACTCTGGCCTCGTGCACGGTTGTCCATCTTAAGCTACCAGCAGGGTTCTGCCAGCGAGCATCACCCTGGCAGGGCAGCTCAGACCGGGCCACCACAATAACTGCTTCCCAAACCCAACGCCTTCCAGGGCTGCCCTTGCCATCTTGCAGCCAACAGGTGCTCAGCAGCACGCATGTGCAGTGACAGCACTTCGGAGAGGGCTTGCGCACCTCAGCTGCCAAAAGCTGCCTGCAGCCTGCAGGATTCCTGATCCAATTGCAGGTGAGCCACCTTGCTCCAAACGAAGCACCTCTGCACGCTGTGAGCAGAGCACGGCCAACGCACGCGCGTCAGGTTTGTAGGCCCTTTCAGCCGCCCAACGGCCGCGTTGCAGAGCATGCCGCCTCAGCCCAACAATGCCTGGTCTAGCAGCGATGAAGAACGGAGACCAAAACTGACACCAATCCCGTCAAGTTGCGCTAGCTCGAATCCAGCTGAAGCCCAGAACGGCACTTCCAAAGCCAGTCGGCATTCTGCGGCTGCAACATCGCAGAGAAGACCTTGACAATGACACCAAATGCCGGAACAAGGCTCTGCAGGGGGCTGCAAGTCTTCGGGCAATTCGGGCACCAGGCCAGCCAGGTCAACGAAAGCGTCGTGTGCAGATCCAGCTTCCGCTTGCGCTTGCCAGGCAGCCAGGGCTGCACGCAGCGCCCTCCTCGCCCAGAATCACACATGCTTTTGAGCTGTCATACAAATTCATTCAAATCATAAAAACAAGTAAGACGCAGTGGACGCAAAGCCAAGATGATACTGATACTGCCTGGATATGCCTGGCCTGGAGGCCCAGAGTCGCACTTCCTGCGGGCATTGCCGGAGAGCTCGGCCGCAAGGAGAGCCCAGAGGCGACGTGAGCGCTGGAAGACGCACCTGGAAAAAAGAATGGACAGCCTGGCAAAGCATGGCAAAACCATTTTGCCGTAGCTTTTTCTTGCCAAGAGGCTTCCCTGCAGGTTTGCCCGCCATCTGCCCAGCAGACCGTACAGCACTGGTTGACCTAGGCAAACAAAGGGCACTCCCACGCTCACACATGCTCACACGTGAACAGCCAACGCAAGGTTCACCTGCCTCGTCGATACTCTCGATTGTCGCCTCGTAGTCAAAGCCATCTTCAGCCCAAGGCGCGAAAACCACATCACCTAGCATCTCCATGTCCGTCACTGCTTATGGGAAGACTTCGGTCGGCTGCTTTGGCCGGAGACAGGAAAGCTTGCATATTTCGCAGGAAAGCTTCTGCGAATCTACAGCAAAATTCAAAGGGCAAGCACCAACCCGAATCCCTGTGCTGACCCAGCACGCACTACAAGCTCACCTGCCGAGAGGAAAACTTGCTGTTGAGACTGCCAGACGTCTGCGCAACCCTGGCTTTCTGCTTGTCTTTTGAAAATGGGCAAACGGATGCAAACGGAATCGATGGCCCTGCGCGCTGAGCGTCTCCTGTTGCACAGGTCTCAGCTTGCACGTGCGCGTACACCCTGTTTGCCAATTTGAAGGGCTTTGCTCAATTTATCAAACAGCACGGGGACAGAGGGGTGTGAGGGGGCTCTGTCCAACGAAGCTCCCCCCCGCACCCCTTTCCACCGCCATGACCCACTGGCGTGCCAACTAGCGGTCATGGTGAGGGGCCTCTTTTTCCTAGCCCTACCCTAAAGGTACTTCTATAGCCCTCAAGACGACGCCGACGACATTGACGACGAAGACAATGTTCCCCCTAAGAGCTTCCCTCCCCTTGAGGGCCCAAACATGTCATGTCCCTGATTTTAAATTTGACAGGAAGTGTTGAACCGGTTCCATAGATATCACTATATAAATATTAACAGGCTAAGGGTCGACAGGTTCGTCGTTTCGCGCCATTCCGGGTTAATTCCCTTTTCCCTGTATGTGCACCCTGCTTGCCATTTCCAAAGGTGTTGCACGTTCGACTGGTTATTTGCGAGTCAGCAGGGGGCCCAGGGGCCATTGGATGGCTTGGGACGAAGACCCACCCAATGAGCCGTGTAAGCGTACCTGCCCAAATGGTCGGCGTGGGTACCTTCAGGTGCAGCTTGTGACCAGGATTTGTTTTCCCCTTCATGCGATGTTCATGCCAGTCGCTTTTCCCCATACATGGTGCTCGGATGTGTTGCTTACAGCATGGTGTGGTGTGACGACCTCAGTCACGACTTGGATACAGGAAACCACTTCAGCGCAGAGATTTCATGCCCACACAGCCGCTACATTTGTGACCTGATGCAATCCAGTATATGTTGGACAGGTTAGTCATGTCATTCGAGGGCAGCGCAGACATGTGATGCAGTCCTGACCCTGCATTTTGTTTTCTCCCTATGACTATAGTATTGTAGTAATTACTTAATTAATTAATATCATTGTTATTACAATTAATGTTGACAGGCGAAGGATCGACAGGATCATCGATTCGTGTGCATTGATGACGATGGTACACTTCCCGACACTGTTTTTGGCTCATCATCCTGGTCTCGTGGTAGTTTCACTGTATGGGCTATAGTCTAAACTCCTAGCATCCCCCTTCATAACCCTCCCTTAACAAATCTAGGGCTTAGGGTTTAGGGTCTAAACTCCTAGCATCCTCCCTATATAATCCCCTATGAAAACCTCTTTTCAGGAGTTTAGATTATGGCTCATACGATGCAACAGCCTCAGGGCAAGGATTTTTGGTCACACTTCTAGCATGTCAGTCAGCCGCTGCTATGCATACAGTCCTGTACATGAGAGTTTTGCGCTACAGACATGTGACGCAGTCCCGACATGTCGGCTGTTCGCTGTTATCGCTGTTCTAATTGTCAGGCTCTGCCGCTCTGTTCCTAAACTGTATTCGTAGTATTCCGTACTACAAGGCCAAGGATTTCAGGAACCGAAATCCAAAATCACCAGGATTTATCCCTTTCTCCGCGTGCGTGTCTTTGCTACGGTGCCTGCCTGGTTGCAACACTCGCGGTTCTTCGACACCTTCAGCAGCACGCAGTGGCACTGGGCTGCGGATCAACAGGAGACCCTCAGCCTCAGAAGCCAGGCAGTTAGCAAGTCGGCTTGCACCCGCGTGGCGCCAGAATCTTCATGCTAGCGTGCTCAAGCTGCTAAAGTGCTTAGGAAGGTCTATCTGCACACGAGCTGCATTCCTGGCTGCCATCTGCAGCATAGGCGAAACTGTGGAGCCAGAGATGCCGGAGCTTGTCGAGGACAGCCGGAAGCATCGCAAAGCGTCGTCGAAACGCTTAGCACGCAAGGCCCTGAAGCCTCAGAGTCTCGAAAACCATGTGTGCACCTTGACGCGCCTTGAGTGCCTTCAATGCCCTCCCTGGCCTTCGGCTACCGCGCAGGGCCGCCCTGCGCCATGGAAATGCCGGCAGCCTCGCACTTCTCCATTCTTATATGCGCTGTTGCAGCATAATTTCACCACATTACCACTGCAACAGCTTTGTTATATCATGCAGGTCTGCTCCAAACCCAGATCCAACTTTGTAAGCCCCGAGCCTCGGATCGCGGGCCGCGCGACTCTGCTTGCAGCACGTTGCGTAGGCGGCATCTTTCAACTTTGCTAAGGCTAAGGCTGCTGAGGTGTTTCGTCTTCCCTTTACGGCTGCCCAAAACATGTTCTCAATCCGCTGGCGGTGCCCAGACAAATTTACCACAACGGGAGCCCTGCTTCTGAGGTCAATGCTGAGGCATCTGTCTGTCAAATGCTTGAAGCTCCCAGACCCATTACAGCCACGGTCTCTGCAGTTCAGACTTGGATCTGGGCATGCCGCAAGCTCCCATGGATGAGGAGGCCAGAAAGCCTTGCATGAGTTTGAAGGTTCCGTGCCTTACACAGCAGCAGGCACGTGTCCCTACAGCCACGGGCACGGCAAAAAAAACACGTCCCGGAGGCGTAGTTTTTCCTAGGCACGGCTGTAAAGGGTTTGGCTAGCCGCGGCTGCAAGGATTCCTCATATTAAAGGTGGAGGATTCCGAAGACAATTCCCAGGACGCCCCACGCGCCAGCGTCACGATGGGCCGAGAACACCGAGAGGGTGGCGACTTATGCTCACAGTTTCCAGAACGCTCTACGCGCCAGCGTCACGACACGCCGACCGACCGACCGACCGACCGTCTCTCTTCTCAACAAACGGGGCCGTGACAGCTAGGGGAAAAAAACACGCAGCCCAGCAGGCTGCACATCACATAAAAGTGGTGGGTGTTGAAATTCTGGAATGCAAGCCTGTCATGCAGTTTCTGCTTTTGGCAATGAAGCACGTTCTGCAAAACTGCCTGTCTTCACGCAAAGCATACGCAATTCTGTGTCTGCTAGGACCCCAACTGGCACTGAGCACAAATGTAACCTTGCTGGCTATGACTGCTGAGATTTCATGCTGTTAACACCAGATCAGCCCGTAAACGGTATACATTCAGGATGCGACCTGCTCATGTGAGTTCACTGCTACAGTTTGTCAACACGAACCGGTTCGTACGTATAGCTCGCACCTGTCGCACACAAACGCCGAATTCTGGTGCAAAGGGTGTGTTTCTTTGGACAAAAGCATGCCGCTGTGCAGCTCAGGTTCTGGCACAAGTCTCAGACTCCTCAGACTCCTGCAGTAGTTGCAGGGCATCTCTGGCCTCACAAGGCAGCGAGAAGCACATGGGATGGTGCAAAAGCCTCGGATGTCAACATCATGCCAATCCAACGTGGCAAGGAGATTGCAACCATACTTATTCTGCAAAACGATGTGCCAGCAGCTAACGGCTGCGACTGCATAATCTTGTGAAACGAATGCCACCTATTGATGACATTCTGTGATGTAAGTTGCCTGAGGCAGGTTGACACCACATTTCTGTCACACCTGTGACAAATACGCCAGTGCGTTCCCCATAAGCGTGATTCGCGACCATACACATACCACCCATGTGGAGCAACCATCATTGGAAAATCCGTTCACTTCTCGTTCTTGTCAGCACCACTCTCTCCAAAAAGTGGAATTTGCAGGTGCCTGGGCACCACCCTCCATATGTCTTGGTTTAGCAAGTGCCTGGCAGAGCCGCATCGCGCCGGCCTTCTGAGCATCTCCAAGGAAGCGTCCACCACTCCCGGCCGCGTCAAAGCAAAGTCGCGGAAGGCAGCAAAATTCAGGTCAAGAACAGCAGCACTCTCTCCGCTTTTGAAGACACTGACCGACTCATCACCAGAACGAGCCTGTGGCACCGGTTCGCTGGCCAGCTTCGAAAGGAAGCTTGCAGCCGCACTGCCGGAGCCTTCCATGTCCTCGCTGAATTTGGAGAAAACTCTTTTGGAGTAGCGGCCGTTTTGTGGGAAGAGTTACAGTTACGGGCACCGCACGGGCAGACGGGCACGGACACACGGGCACGCCACGGGCACCCGGGCACACGGGCACCTGGGCAACCGGGCTCTCGGGCTCTCGGGCTCTCCACGGGTTTGAAGCTTCCGTTTCATTTAAGCCATAACCACTTGGGTAATGTAGTAATATAGTAATATAATGATATAGTAATATACTAATATAGTACTATAGAAATATAATAACATAGTAATATACTCGTATAGTAACATAGTAGTATAACAACCTCTCTCTCTCCACTTCAAGCCTATCGTCTACCTCTCTACCTACACACACAGGCACCCCACGGGCACACCTCGGGCAGCGCACGGGCTCACGGGCACACGGGCTCGCGGGCACCGAGCTCACGGGCTTCTCACGGGCAACCGGACAGCACGGGCACCCGGGCACCCGGGCTCCCGGGCACGCCACCCGAAAAGACCATAGCCGAGATTTGCGAATGGTCTACTCCGCAAGCCGAACAAGACAAATGAGAATAAGGTCGTGCGTGGCCATGCGGCTGAGTAGCGGCAATGAGGAACGCAAGCTGCATGCGACTGGGCTCGGAACCACGTCCAGAAAGCAATGCAGCAACCTGCATTGGAACTTCTCCCAGTGAACATAGAAAAGACATCTCAATTTGGTTGTCTACCGCGGCAGAACTTGGCCATTCTAGTCCCCACCTGAATGTAGTCACGGTACTCAACCGCCCCACTTCTGTCCTGCACAAGAATTTCTCCGACACTCTGTGGCTACAGGATCTCAAGGTCAAGCCTGGTCGAAGTACGCGAAAATGGCGGCCTGCGATGAATGCAAATCTTCACGCGGCATGCTGCCTTCTTCGCGTGAGCCTCCTGGCTCAAACGTCCAGCACCACCCAGACCAGAGAGCGCACTGCAGAACTCTTCGTACGATATCGTCCCCGAGTCACTCCTTAGGCAGCAGTATGCAAACCACCTCCCTGGTTTGTCACCCCTCGTGAACTTTAGCTGCCGGGCATCGCATCATGGCATTCGAACGAGCGCAGCACCGCTTTCAAGTCATCCACGCTGCAGTTATAGCAGCGCCTCAAGCGTGCCGCCTTCCAAGCTTCTCCGCATGAAAGATGGCGTGCACATGTGTGCACATCATATAGCCGCGAAGATGTTTCTTTGCAGTCTTGCTGAACTGCATCCAAAGCTACTGGACTTGGAAGCCTTGCTGAGCAAATTACTACGAGATTTACTTCAACTGGTAAAGCCAGTGGCAGCCTCAAAGTCACTGCCGATATGCGCGCGTGAGCCGAAAGCCAGGAAAGCATCCTGTGCGAAACACAAAACCTTTAAACTAGTGGGCCCACAGGATGTCCTCATAGTTCTGCTCTGTGCATGGTAGATTGAGGTACGCAGCCATGACCTCAACAGGGTAATTTTTGTTGTCATACAGGCGATGCTTGAATTCAATGGCTCTGGACCATTTGTGAAACCTGTACTGTAATAAACCAGGTGACGCTCCTCACGTTGTTCGCGAAGAGCCTGTTGCACAACAATGAAGTTTGGAGTTACATCTTGTCCAAGCATCGCAGAATTCAGGAGTCTGCAGAGTCTTGTGGCCATGGATCTATCTGAAAGTCTCATCAACTTCAGCGAAGCACCTGTCATTTGCGACTTCTGCTGGCGAAGGCACCTGCACAGAAAACAAAAAGTCACCTGGCCACACATCCCAACGTTCTCTTGCACGGCTACCCAATAGCCCGCACATAAGTCTCCAGAATATCGATCTGACACTCGTTGGTGAACTGCAGCATGGTGCGTAGCAGGGCGATTCCCAAAGCATGATTCTGTCCGCAGCCGGCGGGATTGTAGTGCCTGCAGGCGCGGCACCAAATTCATTAGGTAGACTGGCTGAAGAGTCTAGCTGGAGGCCGCTGGCCTCCACGGATATCGAAGGCAAACAGGTACCACAGCTTTTCCGGGAGAAAAAGCACCAACGTTAAATTGCGTGAGCGCCGAGCCATTCGTGATGACACCCTGCATTGCACGGCACCCTGGGGTTGGCCGGAACAGTTTGTGGTGAACAGCCTCACTTGCAGTCCTGGGGAAAAATCATCATGGGTGGGCCAGACCAGGACTCGACTGTCCTGGCTTGGATAGCCTCCTTGCAGCTGCGCCTAAGTGCAGTCACTGCACGGACAATCTAAAGCCGGGGAAGGTACAGCCTCGCATAGCCTCGCCTACTCTCTGGGTTGTTGCGATCGACAAAGATTGCCTGCGCCCCAATCGCCAGACTCCTGAGAGATGCAAGGGGGCCAGCTACTGTGTCAAAAAATGCTTCTGCAGATCTTCCCCACGTCTCCTCATCACAGGAATCTGCAGCAAGCCTGTCATGCCCACACCGCTAGGCACTGGTGGGAAAGCCACACCGATCAGCAGAGAGTCCAAAGCCTTGGTGTGTGCATCCAGGTTCTGGCTTATTGGACATGACATAGCTCTGACTGCGTAAAGAACGTCAGCTTCAACAGCAGTCCAAGTGCTGCGGGGGAGCGGTCATGTGAGGCCTCTGCAAAGCAGTTAGTCATACCCTACTTTGCGACGCACGTGCAGTCTGGGAGTGACCGCTCTGCAGCGTAGAACAGTACCATCCACTCCAGCCACGCTTTGTTTTCTTAACACTAGCGGTGAAACCGTCGTCATGGACTAGGGGCGTCATGCTTACGATCTCGCGCACAGCAAGATTGCAAGCACATCCTGGGCCCCTCAGTCAATGAGTGAAACTCATAGTTGAGGTTGGTTTATGATTACGGTTCTACTAAGAAATTTTGTCGAAGAATACATACACACACATACATACATATATGTATATATATGTATATGTTTCTTATTCTCTCTTACTGGGATTTAGTAGTGGCTCACTGCTTTGGAATGTCAGGACTGACTCCGGAACCTGGGCTGGAATCATGACCCCGGACTCCTATGTCAGTTTTCTATACGATCTCTGACGGATAACAACAGTAATGTTAAATCCTAATTCGCGTGGGCCCACGTCTTTAAAGGGACCTAAATCGTGCGAAGTTGCGCAGCCTTAAAAAATCTGCGAGCAGTTCGGTGGAATAACGCTAATTTGCTGTCACCCATGGGTGATAATTTGGTTTCACCTAACCTGTCAGCCTCATGCAGTAATTCGGGTCCTAATGCAAGCTGCTCATACTAGAATGTCAGATTAGTACGTTTGCCTCAGGATCTTAAGCTTCAGGATTTCAGGATTCAGCCTGGTCCACAAGTACCGTATCAATTTCTGATTGAACCGCTTGCTCGCTTCCTCGAGGCCTGGCCAGGAAATGAGTTTTGCAACAGGGTAGTCCAGCAGTCAGCGGTTCTCGATAGTATGGTTTTCCGGGGGCTGGGGTCATCCGAATTTTTGGCGCCTCATAGGGATTCCAGAACGCAAAAGCCTTTCGTTTTCAAGGCGCTCCTCCTATTGACTTTGATTTACATAAACCATTTACAGAGGTCCACAGCCACCCTCCTATTGAATCGAATTCAAGACAGCTACTACTGAGTTCGCAACTCCCCTCCTATTGAATTTTATTCGAATTAGCAACGGAGCTCCGTCACGCTCCTCCTATTGACTGTAATTTACAATGGCTGCAGAGCTACGAAAACTTTCCTCCTATTTATATTAATTTGAAACTACAACCCAAATTTGCTGCGGGGGTGTCTCCCTCCACTGAATAGCGCCCCATGTTCGTGTGGCTGGGGTCTAGTACACTAATCGGGCCCCAACGTTAGCCAGTCTACGTTGCAGAATGCGGCTTTGGCACCACGTGCCGAGCATCTCCTCCTCGAATCCCGACCAAAAGCCCACAGCCTTCAGACCTGGAGCTTGGTTTAGGGTTACATAGGGGTTCTATAGGGGTTATGTGAGGATAATGGCAGAGAAAATAGAAACCAGTATGTATCATTCAGGGTTCAGGGCTTTATTAGGGTTTAGGAGGGGTCAGGGTTTGTGAGTCAGGGTTTAGGGTTTAGACACGCGCATCGCACAGCAGTGCAGGCACGGACATTCTCTTTAGGGTTTAGGGTTTAGGGCTCAGGGTTCAGCATCTCAAATTCAAGCATTCATTTAATGAGCAGATATCCCAAAGCAACATCAATATGCGCATGCGCCCATTTGGTCCCACTACAATAGGATCATTAGGATTGTTTACTTGCAATCCTACCCTAAAGCCGAATCCTGAAGTGTGAGCCCTATACCTCGAATCTTAAAACCCGAGTCCTAAAGCCCGAAGCTGAAAGCCAATGCACCTCCACACATGTTTTTATAACCTCAGAACTGCAACACAAAATCGAGGCCAAAACCCCAAACCTTAAAGCCTGAACGGTAAACCCCGAACCCGTAAACCTGAACCCTAAAGCCAAAAACCCTAACTACCGTAGCCCTGGAGGCCCCTTCAGAAGCTCTGGCAACTGGAAAGGGCCAAGGGCCTAGGTTCGGAGGCGGGACTTGGAGGCCCTGGAGGCCCTGAGACCCTGGCAGGCCCTACCCTGAGATAGACAGACCTTATTCCACGAATCTGGAACTCTAGAAGCAATTTGAGTAGACCTTATTCCACGAATCTATGAGGGTTTAAATATGCAAAGGTAAGAGAGGTTCAGGGTTCAGGGCTTAAATCTGGACAAGCAGCTCTCAGCGGCGTTGCTTTCCGCCACCTTTGCCCTTGCCTTTCCGAGTGAATCCTGCAAATTCTCCATCGTTCCTCTGCTGAGCAAACCCAGGCAAGTGCAAAACCGTCTTTATTTAAACAATCTTTAAGACAGCTTTGTAATTACTTGCAAGACTAAGACTCTGAAACACAACCCCCAAACTCTGTTGATTCGCGCCCTGCTGGTTTGACGACATTTTCACTCAGAATCTCATCTAGCAATTGATGCCAATGACACGCCATTGACTAATGTCCAGAAAAGGCTCGGTAAGGAATATTGCAGCCGAGTCTCGCTGTTGTCGTGGACATAATGAGCTTGCAGGCCAATGATGCCGGCACATCCGCCTGGGCAAGTGCACCATTTTGAGAAGCTTGGTACATTTTAATCATTCTGCTCACCCCCCAGCCTTGTCCCACACGAGACACGACATGCAAACCGCTCGGCCCACATGCTTCTGGAATTCTTTCCTGTTTGAATGGGGCAAGAATGAAGCTCTCGGCCGATGTCAATGCATTCAAAAAACTTAAACTGCACTGATTTTTTCCTCGCCAAGTAACAAAGCTTTCAGTCGCCGGTTGCCAAAGACAGCCCAGTATTCTTGCTTGCCAAACTTGATGACGACCAGTGGTGTTATCTGAGGTGGTTTGCATTTGCGGGCTTTAAGATCCTCGACTAAAGTTTGGACTGACTGTCCTTTATGCGGCCCGTGGGCGAACAGCATGTTGACAAAGTTGTGCGAATGACGAACATGTCGCACGTCCAGCGATTGCATATTCCTCTTGTATTTTTGTACAGCATGCGGACTCTCCGCAGGGTCGTATTGAGCATGACGCTTGTTCTCCAGAAAACGCCTTAAGCAGGCTATGGGGTCTTTCATTTGCTTCGCAAGTCGGCACGCCAACGGTGCCGGCACCTCCTCACCAAAGTAGTCTGCGTCTTCGAAGACGGCACATTGCACTTTAACTTCCCCACCTTTCCATCTTTGGTACCTCTGAACAGCCTTCAGCTCAGTGTTGCCAAAAACAGCAACGTATTCCACTTGCTGCACGAAGCGTATAACAACCACAGGGCGTAGCCGGTACAACTGGAGAGTGCCATCCCTCAGGCCTTGGTAGGCCCTATCTATGTTTCTCTCTACCTGTCTTTTATCCTCACACGCTTCGTCAGACGCAGTTATGTCTCGTACATCAAGCCGTTGGTATTGCTGACTTGGGTGTCTAAACTCTTCAGCCTGTTCGCTGAATTCATCCATCATCTTCTGGCGAATACTGTTAAGGGTATGTGAACGATCAGGACTCCTTGGCCTGGGATCTTGTCGTCGTGTGTTGCGAACTGGACTTCTTGACCTTGAATCTTGAGACTCTTGACGGCGTCGTTTCTGAGGACGTCGTGTGTGGCTTGGGCTTCGACTTCGACGTCTGGCTGATCCGCCCGCGCTGTCTCTCAAGGCGAGTATCCCCCGGTCTTCAAGGGCTAACTGACCATCCGTCAAAGCCGGCCGTGAGCTCGTAGCAGGAGCAGCGTGCCCAAGCTCGATTCCCAAACCACCACTCACTTCCCAAAACACTTCGTTTAGCATGCTTGCCGCAGATGTATCTGCTTCTGAGACGGATGTAAAGCGGGCACTTGCAATTCGTGTGCTGGGCTGAGTCGTCTCCAACTCTTCCCACATTGTCTTTGCCATCCAGTCTGTGATCCAATCTTCATGTGGTGGCCGGGCATCACGTCCCATTACATAATCGTCCACTCTGGAGGTGTTCAACCAACCTTTCCTTGGAAAAATCTTCATCAGCAACTCCCGCTTCAGGCGCTCTTTTTCGTGCTCCTGTGCAAAAAGGCTTGTTCAGCAGGCACCTTCCAAGCACCCCATCCATGCCAAGTCCTGCAAAGTTGGAGGAGGTATGGAACGAAGATCCATGGGCTGGGCCGTGAAGTCAGTAGTGCTGAATCGCGGTGGCGCCTTCCAGGGTGTGTTTCAACGGTGCATGTACAACAGCTTCAAGCTATGCGAACCTACCGTACCAGTGGACTCCGCATGGCTCCCCCCCACACACAACCAAGGATGATGACACCCATGTATCAGCAATGATACAGAAAAGATTGCATGGTTCTGCGGCCATGGCTCAAGTGACTGTAGCGACGTGTTTGTTAATGTTTGAGGGCTTGGTCTGGAGTTTGGATGTATGTGTTGTTCAGGCTTCGTTTAGCGCCTGGTTGTAGTGGCCCCAGGGGCAAGCCCAAACCGTAGACTCCCGGACCTCTAGCCATAACATCCTGAAATATCCTGACCCTCAAACCACCAGCGGGTGATGAGAACAAGTGCCCGTGGCTCCTAAGGATCTATCAGCAACAGCTACAGCAGCATCAGCAGCAGCCAATGGATGCTACATTGCTGTTCAGAAAGCTCACTGAGTTGCAGTTGCCTACAGCCCTTCCGGAACCGGTGCGTACAATTCGAATTCCGTCAGAAAGCATCATGAAACAGCAATTAAAACTTTGCAGCATGGTTTAGCTTTCATTGCTGAGCAGCCTTATGACCGTGCAGTCTCAGGAACAATTTTACAGCTCAAGCAGGGCGGTCAGAGATCCTTGGCGGGCAAATGGTGCAGCATAGGCATACAACTAATCAGTGCAGGAGTGGGATGGCTGCCGGTGTCAGGCGACTTGAGGGATCGGTATTGACTCTAAGGCTAGCTGAGATAAACGTCAAGTTGACAGCCCTAACCTCTTCCTCCGGGAGCTCTTATGCAAGGCTACCAGTACAGCCTCTAGGTTGGAGGAAGAATCTGCACGAGATCCTATGTAGCCGCTCAAGACATGGCTGATGACAACGCCAGAATCCCGCCTGCCAGTT